CTAAGATAAAAAATTCGAGAAAAAAAACTTTTTTTCAAAAGGGTGGTAAAGTATCCATGGATTCACCCCATATAAAGAACTATTGAGAGATGAAATACTATATACCGTTAACATTAGCCGGTGATAAAAACAATAGACATGTATATTATTTACATAACAATCAATGGCGTTTGTATTAATGAGTTTTTTTTACATATATTTGCCGTCAATTTTCTTCTCGTATGATAAGAATATAAGTGATGGATCATTAGAAAAGTACCTCAAATTTTATAGAGGAAATTGAAATATAGAAGCAACTATAGTTGTTTAAAATAAATGACGATCAAATATATAGATTATTGAGTTTATACAATCACTTAACGTATTAAAAACTTATAGTAAAATTGTTCATTTTAAAATAGAAATTATAAGAAGAATGAAAAGCAAATATTTAAGTACAAAACATGACTAATACTTTGTTAGATCAATAAGAACATAAGTTTTCGAATGGTGTAAAACAAAATATGAGAAGAAATCAATATTTACAATTGAAACTCAAGTTATTTCTCTTTTTTGTTTTATAATGCATATATAAAATCATTTTTGTACTTACAAGATTAGTAATCTTGTTCTCAAACTTTTTAAAATATGATGAAAATATTTACTTCTAAATATACGATTTTAATATTGCTAATATTCATTTTTCAAAATGAAAATATTGCTGCAAGTAAGTTGAACTTTACAAGAGTAGATAACAACTTTTTTTCCTTCATACTTTTAATATTCAGTTACATGCGATAATTATAATATCACATATTCTCAACAAAATGATGCTGTGACAATAAATTTTTCATCAAATGATCTATTAAAATTAAATCGAACAGTTCAATGTACACCAACTTCTACAGAAGAAATAGTCTATGGATGTGCACATCAATGTGTTGGATTAGGATATGGACAAGAAGGTGAAATACTTATTGAAATGCAACATGATAACGGAACTATACAACCTTGTACCATAGCATATACTATAGGTCTATAAATGAATAGTATATTTTGTTTATATTTGAAATTTTTCTTTTAGAATTATGCGAACCAACTTTAGCATTTTTTAATGTTCCTGGTGATAAAGTTCGTTTAGGTATTAATCGTCCGATGGGATCTTTTGATTATGTTAATGTTCAATGTTCGAATAATGAATCATACGTAATATTCAATACCAGCACACCATCGAACAGTTCTATAATTACAGTCGATTGTTCATTCATACCAAATTTACCACTTATGAGTTTTATACTTGAAACTATTAAAAAAGATTTTCGTACCGCAGTTAATCATATTAGTCAAGAAGGTAATTAAATAAATTAATAATCAAGTTAAACATATTTTTTTTTAATATTCTAGTTCCATTGCCTGTTCCATTTGATTTTTCTCTTGATTCACGTGTACTAACTATAAGAGCATATGCACCGCCATTAATGAATCTAAATAGTTCATATGAATTTCAATTGGTATTTTTTGATAAAAACGATGAACATATTATATACAAAAGAGCAACAATAGTCAATCTTTTACCAAATTTAGGTATATCATTCAATTATAGTCTTATACCAAATCTTAAACATAAAATTATTTTTACACATATTGTCAATGCAACAATGTATGCTGAGTCAAGTTCAATAGTGTCACCAAGTATATTAATTTAACATTTACTTTTTTTTCAACTAAATCATTTTTTTAAATTTAGTATCGAATATTCCATATCCATTTGCAGTAATAAACCTACATATAGAAGAAAATTATCATAATATTATTGTTAGTTGGAGTGATTCACATTCTTCATATGATCAAATCGAATATATTGTTTCATGTAATTCAAATAATAATTTGACAAGAAATGTCGGTAGAAATACAACATATGTTTGTGAAAATATAGCCTTTAATGAAACGAATAGTATTTCTGTAGAAACAAGATTAGCTATACCTGGTTATATACATGATCGAATGGTTATTGCGATATTGGATGGTATGTATGAGAAATTCTAGAAATCGTTTCTTTTTTTTGTATATTTTAATTTTATTTTAGTTCCACAAGTACCTCAAATACCGATATTTGAAGTTTTTAATAGAACAGAAACAAGTATTACAGTTCGATGGCAATATAATAATGATTCATTTTCAACAAATACATTCGAATTTAATATAAAATGTGGTTTAAATGCAAATCCTATTCAAATTGATATTCGATCAAATGAATATGTATGTCAATCACTTGAAGAAGGTACAATTTATGTTATCACCATGTTAGTAGGAAGTTTTTTTAATATTATTCAACGATCATCAAGTATTCAGACAAATACATGTAAATCAAAATAAAATTTAAATAGAAAAAATCAGTTAGATCTTGTTAATTTTCTAGTACTTCCAACATGTCAATATCAAAGTCATTTTTATTCATCTGATTTTAATGGTACTCGTTTTGTTATTATTGAATGGAGTCCTCCAGATAAAAATTTCGATAAGATCTATGTACAATGTCTATCAACATATATTCCTTTTGAATATAATCAAGTCACATCATTTATGTACATTAAATGTATAATTTACAATGGAGTACCATTTAATGTGACATTTGCCACTGTTAAGAGCGGTTTTGAATGGGCAATATTTCAATTTACAGATACTCCACCAAGTACGAGTTAATTTATAGTATATTTTTAAAAAAATTCATCTTTTAGGCGATTCATCATCAACAACAGCATCAACATCTTTATCAACAGAAACATCATCGATCACTGATTCAGATTGTTCTCAAGATATATTCTTGAAAACAGAGATCAACATGATAAAATGGCGAACAGCTGCAATAATTGCTTTTATAGTTGCCGGAGTTTTAGCTTTATCTACTATATGTCTCATTGTTTTTTCTGTTCTTTTATATTTACGAAATCGATATAATGTTCGTGATGAATAAAATACTTCTAGATGGTTTGAATAAATATGTACACTAATTCCATTATAAAAATTGTACTGTGGAATAAAAATAAATATCAAATATTTTTACCGTTGTAATTTCGGTTTTTTTTAGATGAATCATAGAACACGAATATCAATTTTTAATTTATGAGGAATATAAAAAACACAAAAGTGATCTATAAGTGGAAGCGATAAAAATATAAATGTGCAGATATATAAAGTTATCACTATAATCATTAAAAAAATACGTTTTTTGTAAAACGAGTATATCAAATCAGGAAAAAACAATGCAAGGTCGTATCCTTCTCGTTTTTTTATTGTCTACAACTTTTACGGAAGGCTTCTTGTTTAGTTGTAAGTTTATTCTGGAATATTATAAATTTTGTTAAAATCTTTTTTCTTCTAGCATCACCAAAATGCCAAATAAAAAAATATAAATCGAATACGTACATAACAGGCGATCCTTTATTAATTCATGAAGATTTTCATGAACGTGTTAAACCTTTAGAAAATCTTGCAAAAACTTGTCAAGTACGTTTATATATTAGAGGATCTTATTATCAATTACCAAATCCAGCCGATCAAGTTTTAGTTTCGGATGCTGATATAGTCATTGGTCATGGTTTTCAATTTGAAATTCGAGATGAAAATAATGCAATTTTATGTAATAAAATGTGTCTTTCGAAAAGTAATTATATACATATCCCTTTTTTTAATTAAATTCATTTTCTTTTAGATCCAACTGTATTTGCTGCATATGTTCCATCACTAATAGTATCTGTA